AAAATCTGTTGACCTAAGGTTCTTTCTTATCTACTCTTGCTTCCCAAACGGCTGTTGCCAATTTGAAGCTACGCAATTAAAGTTCCACAGATGTAATCTCTCTGATTCCTATGCATACCATCAGGTGAAATCCATGTGATAGTCTGCGCTTATGTTTCTTGTAAAATGTATTTGCAACAAATTCTAAAGAAAGGTGACCCAACAGAGTGTGGAAATTATCGAACAATATCATTGATAGCACATGCAAGCAAGATTTTGCTGAAGGTTATCCAAAAACGACTGGAACAGTACATCAACAGAGAACTACCAGAAGTGCAGGCTAGCTTTAGATGGGGTCGTGGTACTAGGGATATTATAGCTAATGTTAGATGGATCTTGGCTGAAAGCAAGGAGTACCAGAAGAATGTCTGTTTCATTGATTACGCAAAGGCATTTGACTGTGTGGATCATAACAAACTGTGGCTAACTCTGGGAAGAATAGGAATCCCAGAACACTTGATTGTGCTAATGTGAAACCTACACTCGGACCAAGAGGCAGTCATCAGAACAGAGCAAGGAAACACTGCATGGTTCAAAATGGGGAAGGGAGTACGCCAGGGCAGTATCCTGTCTCCATACCTTTTCAACCTATATGCAGAACAGGTTATCTGGGATGCTGGGCTCTATGAGGAGAAATGTGACATCAGAATTGGAGGAAGAGTCCTCAACAATCTGTGTTATGCAGATGACAACCCAGCTTGCTGAAACTGAGGAGGACCTGAAACACTTGCTTTGGAAGGTCAGGAACTGCAGTCTTTTGTAAGGATTGAGACTCAATATCAAGAAAACAAAGATTCTCACCATTGGGCTGGTTGGCAGTGTCATAATGGATGGTGAAGAGATTGAGATTGTTCACAGTTTTGATTTGCTTGGGATACACCATCAACACTCTTGGCACCAGCAGCCAGATAATTAAAAGACGTATTGCAATGGGAAAGTCTGTGGTTATAGACCTCTCTAAAATGCTGAAGTGCAAGGCAAGGATGTCAGTCT